AATTATTCGACATTAGATTCTGATACAATCACTGTAATTTCTCACGCCTTTGCCTACTCGTCAAGATGGCGTCGAAAACCGTGACAAGTCTATACGGGACGTACTCAACTTGGTCTTTGCTTTTCTTTCTTTGGCAGGTCTTCCTCTTTATCCTTCCCCTCCAGTAGCCGAGCATCCAGCTCTTTCTTAACAAATTCACTTTTGTCGTCTGCTAGCCCAATGGCGAATTGCTTCAACTCGATATCTGTCCATTTTCTCTCCCTAACCTCGAGCCGTTTCTTCCTTTTCCTTGCGGCAGCCATTTTGTTGCCTTGGAGCCTCGATTGCATGCAACTTTTAGCACTTGAGTGCGTCTCGTTAAGTGCGTGCCGTTTTTATACTAGACGTCTCAAACGTCTGAGAAGACTAATTCATCAGTTTTGTGCGTCGATCGGACGCACTTAACTTCAGACGTTTTATTCGGATCGTCTGACGTTTAATGCGTTTAAATTGGATGCACCTATTCCTGAGCCACAAGGCAAGCAGTGCTATATATATGTTATCATTAAGAGTCCCTCAGCCGTATGCTCCAAGTTGTGTTTATTGATAGGTTTCACGAAACGTTGAACATAATTGCGCAGAAAAAAGATGTGTATTGTTAATAAGTGTCGTTCAATATTGTTATTGCAGATGTGCATCGCAGGGGGTCTGGGAATACCCGGAAGTGCCAGAGAAAGAACCAGTTCCCGCAATGCTTTCGTAAGTAAGGCGTGGCTTCACATGTGATTCAGCACGGTTTCCTAAATAAATTATCGCCATTTGCCTATAATTAAAGGCCAAATTCATGCCTGGTTAAAGCAGTACTCTTCACTTCACTGCCCACCATCTGAACACCTGAAACAGCTAGAGGCTCCTTGATCGGGCTTTAAGCACTCGAACAAGGGCCTCTGCGAGCAGAGGCTACCTTTTTGGCGGTCAGATAAGCCACCTCATATATTTGATGCTGTTTTTGTCTACATTTTCTGCAAAAAATGTATAATAAAGCAATTATTAGATTCGGTTTTTGTGATATCCAGAATAATCAAGGTCTCGGCTCCGGCCCCGACTTATCTCGACCTTGATTATTTCGGCTATCACAAAAACCTCATCTGATAATTGTTTATTGCAGGCCGGGAAAAAGGATCAGTTTTGAAATCGTTTTTATGGTCGTTCTAATAGATTAGCCTTTTTGTTATTGACCCTGGCTTCCAAGTATCGTACTTTGTGCAGATGAAGGATCCGGTTGTGTGTTGAATGTTGTTTGCTTGAATTTATTAATTTCTCAGGCTGGTGTTTTCATGGGGTTTTCGATTACCTCAGCTGTATTAGGTGGAGTCATCATCATATGTTACAGTATTGCGATTTCTCAGCTCAGAAGATATGATTCCAGGCGTAATCGTAGTAGGACCTACTACGATTACGATTATTACAACTATCGTACGCGTTATGGGCGAGATAATTACAACTATCATGGAAAGATGGCCGTTCTTGCCATTATGCTTGTCTTGGGCATTGTTACATTCGGGACTGGAATCTGGGCAGCGATTTGCACCTGTTTGATGAAGCCATGCGGTTGCTGCGGACAGCCGCCGGTAAGTTATATGTAATTCTTGAAGAAATTCATTAGGCTAGTAAAGTTAATATCTATTTAAATATTCTCAAAACATAGCCAAGAAAAAGTCTTAATGATGCTGCCAGTTTCGATGACTGTTAGCCATCTTTATCAAAACTTGAAAATCGTCAAAGGTGTCAGAAGCCTGAAATAGGCTTCTGACACTGAAGGCTTCACCTCTCTACTTCATTTCAAGTCATGAGCTGTACCTCATCGTGTTTGGTGGCAAAAAAGAGGCTCCTGGAGCCATGATTTAAAAAAAGCCACCAACGGTCTGAAAGTTAAGACATCTTCGAGACCAACTGACAACCTCAAAATATGATGTGAGACATTCTGACATGCTAAGGAGGTGATGTTAAACACGTACGTTTCAAAGCTTGTGAGTTTTGCCTGCGACTCCTTACTAGGTCTTAAACTAAGCTTTGATCTATATACTTCAGTGATTTTGTGTATTCGCATGAGCAGCAGCTATTATTATACACTTTTTCAGTTCTCATCATATGCATCCATTTGGCAATAACTGTTGCAGAAAAAAACCATTCAATCTACCAGTTTTTAAAGTCGGAATCAGTGGCGAATCCAGGGGAGGGGTCCCGGGGGACCCGCACCCCTTATCCCTGGGTCTAGATGCTAGATGACCGCCCTCCCCCTTATCTGAAGGTGTGGATCTGCCACTGGCCATTAATGACAATTCCGATGTCCTGCTGCTTATAAGCTCTGGGCTTATACATCCCCGTAAGGGGTTTTAGCAGGGCCTATACACGGGGTGGGGGGGGGGAGGGGCTTCTATCCGCTTTTTCTAGTCTTCTAGTCCGGTTATAAGCCCCCTTAGCAGTGTTGCTCAAAATGCATTTTGCATTTACCGGCTTTTGATAAGGCTTAACTTAAACTTCATAATACATCGAATTTCCAATTGGGATGGCTTATAATCAGATGTATTCTTTTGTTCAGACAGATGGATTGTCCTATAACTTGATGAGCTTATAAGTGTAGGGGGTGCTTGCAAGCTGCCGTGTTTACGGTATTATACTACTGCATGAGAAATTTCTGCAATTTGATTGGCTTAGAGCAGTGGTATTTCAGCTTAATTTGAAATACCTACATGTGAAAATTACAAACCTTTTGTAGATAGTAGCATAAACAAATAATAGCATGATTTGTACCTGATATTGTTTGTGTTATACTACTACATGAGAAATTTCTGCAATTTGATTGGCTTAGAGCAGTGGTATTTCAGCTTAATTTGAAATACCTACATGTGAAAATTACAAACCTTTTGCGGGTAGTAGTATAAACAAATAATAGCATGATTTGTACGTGATATTTGGCATAAATACCACTAGTGATATTTCAAAATTGTCTCAAATTTCACTCACCTAACGGCTCGTGAAATTACGTATAACAATTTAGAAATATCACTCGTGGTATTTATGCCAAATATCGCTACAAATCATGCTATTACCTATACTAATCAAATGGTGACGAGTAAAATTAGGGAATGATTTCACGCGCCTTTTGTTCAAATCCTAATAATTTCCGGAGTTATTAGGATTTGCACAAAACGCAAGTGAAATTATTCCCAAATTTTTGACATATTTATCCTGGATTGTATCGATCGAGAACTCCACTCTCTCAAAAGTTTAGACCTTAAATTAAAGTTCAGAATTTTCAAAATTCTTCGACAAAATACCTGTTAGAATCCTTCTTGATGTGCTCTTTCGTGTGTTCAGGTTTTCTAAAGCGTCTTTTTGTGACCTGATATCTTTATTCACGGCATTTTAAAACTTCGTCGCTATCTTGACACTGAGACGTACGGAAGGCTGCCATCATATGCTAATTTTGTAATTTCACGTGTGAAATTACAAATTAACGCTGAAATTTCGCGCCATTATACTACTATACTACTTCTGCAATTTGGTTGGCTTAGAGCAGTGGTATTTCACCTTAATTTGAAATACCTACATGTGAAAATTACAAACCTTCCACGGGTAGTAGTATACAGCTGAGTATAAACAATTAATAACATGATTTGTACGTGATATTAGGCACAAATACCACTTGTGATATTTCAAAATTGTCTCAATTACGTGTAACAATTTCAAAATATCACTCGTGGTTTTTATGCCAAATATCACTACAAAACATGCTATCACCTATAATAATATATTACCACAGGAATTCACATATTTAAACTAATAAAATTCCAGGCAGGCTATCGCTGCTGTGAGGCTGTCTGATGTAATCACTGCACGATATAAATGTTACGTTAAGGCCCTTTGGTAACCGTAAGCTAGCGCCCTGTATAAAACACTGCACTCTTAGCTTTTTTCATTCTTCTCTTATAATTCTACTTTTGTTCTTCACTATTTTATTGCATTGAGTTTGCGTCGTGAGTACGTTGTGTGAGTGAAATGCCTGAAAAAGTAACAACAACCATAAAAATATGGGGGAAAAAAGCGACAAGTGTTTTTTAAAACCCTTCTATGTAATTTAATTTGTGCTCTTTAAAACGCAGTAAAATTTTGTATCCATGGTAGATCTAGAGTAGTGTGTATATGCCAGAATAATTTTCGTAATATGTTAAATTATTACAGGTAGACCAGCAGATGTACGGTTACCCAGCTAGTGGTTACGTCATGTCCGCGGGAGGTGTTCCTGTGGCTATTCCAATGCAGGCAATGCAAGCAGGCGCCAGCGGTGCTGCAGCACAGGGTTACCATCAACCGATGGTGCTAGTGCCTGTCTCTGGTGCAGCAGGGGGTCAGCAACTGATTGCTCAAGCTACCGCCCCTGGGGGGATTGTCACCGGTACCCTTCAGCAGCAACAGATGGAGGCTGGGATGTCTCATTCGTTCGTACATACTGAAGGTTACCCAGCTAAGCCCAACGAACAGGTTTGTCTGATACTCTCGATTGTTAGATGGAAAATGCAGGCAACCTGAGCGATCTTGCTTCGGAAGAAAAACGAGACAAAAATGTACAAAATACACTGAAATTTAGCGGGTAAAAGCATTTATATAGTTAAAACTTTAATATAAGCAGAAGTAAAGACATAAAATTGCTTTCGAGCTTTGCGACATATTCATTAGTTTTAAAGAGGCTAGGACGAAACGTTTTTCATCAACATATCAGTATGACCTCTGTCGGGAGCCGACTCTATAGAATACACCGACACTCAGACTAGCAAATGACTCCCCCCCTAAGCATCTGTAGAAGGGACAGGTCGCCTTACCTATACAAGTAAAACCACCTATTGTTTGCGACATAACTCAGCGTATAAGACGACGTGGTTCTGCTTGTTATATGAGACGGAAATTTTAAGCAATAAATTTCTCTTCCAATATTAATACTCTTGAATAAAACAGCTGAAACTGGCAGAGTTCACTGTGGTCCGAATCTCGCCATAACCGAATGCCTGCCGTCAGGTTACTAATTGGCTCCTGCTGACGTAAGTGATCACCAGGAGCCCATCAAATTTGATGGGCTCCTGGTGATCACCGAAACCGTATGTAGCGTAATACTTCACACCGCCTTGAGATAAGGGGCAGGAGGGGGGGAGGGGTTGGGGTCTCCAAAAAAGTTTGGCCTCAGTTTGGTCTAGAAATAAGGGGTGGCGCGGGCCCCTGGATCCGCCACTGCTTCTCTCCCACTTAAGTGTTCTGGTCACATCTAATACTTTTTCTGTTTTCCTTTGTTTTTATAGGTGCAAGTATCGGTGTAGACGTAACTGGAATTTATTTAATCAGCTATATTAATATCAGATATTAATACAAGTGGCTGTTGCTATAAACTGACTTTGAACAAGCACAAAAAAATATAGCATTAGCAATAAAGATAAAGAAGGTTCATCTTTAAGCAATTTTTTTGTTCCAGAGCCAATTCATAACGCACTTTAAAAAGGGGAGCTCTCTCAAACGTGACAAACCTATGACCATTAGTCACGGAGTACTGGTTAGCCAGGCTTGTAAGAAACTATGTACACGTACGAGATAAAGTGGGTACTGAAAATCCCCCTCCCCTGCCCGTACGGTTTTGCTATTTATTTGCTCCTTCATCTTGTTTGGTACGAAGTTTGATGAAAGACGGTTGATGAAATGACGTGATAAGTGACATGAAATAAAGCCATATTCGGCCAAAGGGGATTAAACCCTCGCTAATAACTCGAACCAAAATCAATTTTCCCTGGATTACTTTTATATATTTACTGTAATTTTACCCTCGATAACTCCAACCTCCCGCTAACTCGAAGTAGCTCAGATCATTTAATATACATAAATTTAACTCAGATCATTTATTAATATATAAATTTACCCTCGATAACTCGAATCATTCCTTAAGCACCTGACAAGGCGAAAAAAGTGTACTGCAGTGCGAAACACTGAAATTGTTTTAACAGCCATGAAGTCTTTGACTTTATTTTCTGTTCAGTTTAAATACAATGTCCAGCACTGTGAATTTATCAAGTTTTGAAGTGTGCATGTTACTTTTGCGTTCATTCTCCCATTTCATTTTCTTATCTCCGGGTATTTGCTTCGAACTCCCAATAACTCACGCGATCAACACTGCTTCATGGTACACTGAAAAAAATATAAACACTTAAAATTCTTTGTTGGTCACTGGCAGTTCACGGGGACGGACGAGTTCTGACCTCTGACTTGGTTTCGATCTAGTGAACGTGTTTTGTCCTTTTTTTTGCCCGTCAATCGTTTTGTACCGTTCCATATTTTAGTTCTTTGTCTATTTCTGCTTAATTTTATGTGCAAGTCGGTGCATGTGCGTTTTTTTTTTCTTTTTTCTTTGTTTTTACATTGTCTTATACTTTTGCCTCCATGAAACAACCTATTCAATAATATTCTTAATTAATCTATAACGCCTCTCATCAGCTAGATTTATTTAGCTTTCTAGCTGAGGTAGTTTGTTTTTAATGTCTTTTTTTGTTTGTGTGATATAAATAAAGTTAATGAAGTTGTCTTGGCTTCTTTGTATTTTTTTTGGCTTGTTTGTCTCTCTATTTGATGTAAAACGCGAATTCTCATAATTAGGTTTCGTCAAAGCCGTCACCCGGAGTCAAATTTTCGTGCAATCCCGTAATCCCGATGTATTTTCGGCATTCCGCAACCCATGCTTTATTTCGACAAACAAGCTCGACTTTGGACCCTTTAAACAGAACCAAAGAAGACTGATCGAAACTCCCAGGGGTGGGGGGAGGGGGGGGGGGGGGGGGGGGCACTTCCTTGTAATTGGCTAATGGGAATGTGCCGCTGGATGGGGTATCATTTTCACCACTGGATTGATTATAATGGGGTCGCATTTTCAATAGAGTTACTAGAATGGGGTCGCACATTTTCTGATTTTAGGGGTAAGACAGTTCTTATTTACGGTTAGCAAACACACCAGAATGTTTGTACCGTAGGTGAAAAGTAAAGAGTTCTTCACTCAATCTTCATTCATTATAAGGTAGATACGTAAATAGGAAGTGACTAAGTTGGGATCGCGAAAATTTTATATTTGCCCAAAAGTGACTAGGATAGGGTCTATACATATTATAATTGACCACAGAATAGACTGTAATGAGGTCGGGGCTCTGAGAGGCCAACGGCATATACCCAGCAAAAATTAACCCAAGTGCTCTCTCCCCCGCCCCGGTCGAAAACCGGTATGACCCTATAATGTGTTGCTGACATGATGATTTAAGGAAGTTCAAACAGGTTTGAACCTCGCCAAATCATGGCCGTTCCCTAAACTGGACTGAGGATTGTGTGACGAACTTCTTTATAATTCAGGGCCCAGTTGCTCGAAGCATGGTTAGCGTTAACCAGCGTTTAATACCTCGACAACGTATTGGTTTTGATACTGCTTAACCAATGGTTAAAGCTAACCATGCTTTGAACAAATCAGCTCAGTTCGTCATAGTCTGCTTTATGGTGGCCCACAACTGTCACGGCAAAACCAAAAACCTCACGGCAAAAACAAAATACCTTACGGCAAAACCAAAAACCTCAAATAGCTTTGGTTTTGCCGTGGGTTATATTGCTTTTGCCGTGAGGTCTTTGGTTTTGCCGTGAGGTTTTAGGTTTTGTCGTGAGGTATCTAAGGTATTTTGTTTTTGCCGTGAGGTTTTCGGTTTTGCCGTGAGGTATTTTGTTTTTGCCGTGAGGTTTTTGGTTTTGCCGTGAGGTATTTTGTTTTTGCCGTGAGGTTTTTGGTTTTGCCGTGACAGTTTTGGGCCACCGTACTTGCGTCATTGATCACACAACAAAGTATTAAATTATGCATCTGTTTTTTCCGTGTTTAATTCCACAGACTTGAGATAACATGGCGGCCAACGCTACCAAAATGGCAAGGTTTCTTGCCATCATTCAAATTGTAACTGGGGTTTTACTCATCGGTTTTGGCATCGCCGATCGACTTGTTACTACGGAAGGGAGATACTACTACTATCATGAATGGACAGGCTACGTATACTTCGGCATTTGGATCGGAATATGGGTAAGCAAATGTTCTCACTTCATGAAGATAAAAATATTATATCTTGAAGCACGGTCTTAAAGGAAGTAGGATAGACACAAATAAATATGCTACGACTTTGCTGTATCAGCAAAATGTACATCCTAAAGCTTCTAAGCTATGTTTATTACTAATTCGTTACAAAATTCGTGTAAAATAAGACAAACGAGCGATAAACAAAGGTCTGTAAAAACGGTAATGGGTTCATGATAACCGTCACGAATATAGGATTATTCAATGACCACTTTGCCCACTATAAGAAAGTTGATATTTGGTGTAGTTTGTGCAGTTAGGGTAGTTGGTGTAGTTGCTGTAGCTGGTGTAGTTAGTGTAGTTGGTGTAGTATATGTAGTTGGTGTGTAGTTGCTGTAGTTGGTGTAGTTAGTGTAGTTGGTGTAGTATATGTAGTTGGTGTAGTTGGTGTAGTTGGTGTAGTATGTGTAGTTGGTGTAGCATGTGTAGTTGGTGTAGTATTTGTAGTTAGTGTAGTTTGTGTAGTTGGTGTAGTTAGTGTAGTTGGTGTAGTTGCTGTGGTTGGTGTAGTTAGTGTATATGTAGTTGGTGTAGTTAGTGTAGTTGGTGTAGTATATGTAGTTGGTGTAGTTGGTGTAGTATGTGTAGTTGGTGTAGTTAGTGTAGTTGGTGTAGCATGTGTAGTTGGTGTAGTATGTGTAGTTGGTGTAGTATGTGTAGTTGGTGTACTATGTGTAGTTGGTGTAGTTACTGTAGTTGGTGTAGTATGTATAGTTGGTGTAGTTTGTGTAGTTGGTGTAGTATGTGTAGTTCGTGTAGTTAGTATAGTTGGTGTAGTTACAGTAGCCTGTCTATTTCAACAAAGCCATTTGTCAAGCCCACGAAAATTGAGCATTGAACAGCTTGTCATAATTTGTTTCGTTGAGTCTTTCTTGTTTCCATTTCTGCTCTTTTATGAGACCCGACACAACTTACAGAGGGCTCAACACGGACATTGGCCGTATTTATACCTGGAGAAGTCTTAGACGTCCAGACGCATTAAACGTCAGACTGTTAAGTGCGACTAGTATAAATACACTTTGTCACGGTTTTCGACTCCATCTTGACAAGTAGGCAAACGTGTGAGAAATTACAGTGTTTGTATGAGAATCTAAGGGACGGACCATTAGAAAAGTGATGGGGGGTGGGGGGTGGCGAAAAAAACAAAAAAAAATTCACGCAAGGGAAAATGCCAAGAAAAAAAATTCATGCAAAGAAGAAGGTAAAGAAAAAAAATTCATGCGGAAGGAAGGTCCGATGGTGACTTTTTCAGAAAGTCTGAGTTTCAGAAATCAACAACCAGGCACAATATGAATAAACAATTTTTGGCCTTGAAGGAAGCACAACAGAACGCGGATCAAAGATACACCTACGCTATTGGTCCCTTTCGTAGCCAATGGCAAGTTAGTATTTTCGATCCTAGCCATTAGTATTTAAACAGTCTGCTTCGCTCTCTGTACCTAAGACTTTACCGTAGTAGCAACTGACGAGGAACGCCATAGTTCCCAAACTGCAGTCTTGCATAAAAATTCAAAGCAGTCGTATAGACGACTGTTAAGCAAAAACTTAAGTAAATACCTACGAAGGAACAACAAGACATTGTGCTCTAGTTCAAAGACTCACGATGTTAAGTAAAACTAAATGGACTGTGTGAGCGCTAAGGGAATTATCTTGACTGACGCACGGCATATTTCTCCAAACTTGGTGTAGCTTTAGTTTAAGCCACAGTGTACAACTCAAATCTGAAGACCGCACTATCCGTGGAAATTCAAAATCCTGCAAACCACATTATAGAGCTGGGCCCAGAGTCATACTGACATGGCAGGAAATAATCACATTCACGGACAAAGGAACTTGCATGCATTCATGCATGTAGTTATTCAGATACAGTCATTTCGAAGAAAACCAAAAAAACTAAAATCTTTATTCAGCCGTAACAAACAGAGGTCAAAGAAAATTTAAACAGTTTACAACTGCATCTGAAATCAAATCCTATCAGGAACACCTACAGAAGCATAAACTACAGGGAATGATTACGCAGTATGCATGTAACAAACCTGCTTCATGACCTCTAAATATAACACTTAGTGCGGCAAAAACAAGATTTACTCAGTCAAAGTTTAGAATGCTACAAGTCGTGCACTGTGTAGTGCTAGTAACCTTCGCGCAAGAGAGAAAAAGAAATAGAACCACTGTTCAAGCAGACTCTCAAGGTCACGTTTCACATTATCGCGAGCTTATGAGTCGTGTTTGGCCTGTCAACGCTTATTTCTTAATGCAGCCAGCGACTATGCGGAACTCTCACACGAGTGGCTTCCTCCTCTCTCACTGTGTGTACATTTTCGAAAAAATTTTGCATTAAAGTGGCCTAATAATAATTTATAAAGTACAAAAACATAGATGATGAATCAAGATTTCACTGTTCCAAAAAAAAGGAAAATTTGTCTGAAAAAAAATTCGTGCAGAGGTCAGTTTCACCTGAAAAAAAATTTCTGCACGAGCAGTGAGCGAAAAAAAAGTTTGTGCAAGCTGAAAATTCCCCCCCCCCTCCCATCACTTTTCTAATGGTCCCTAATGTCGAATAATTTCTGTAAAACGGCTGCTCTGAAAACAATATAAATTGTAAACTAAAGCTGCAAAGCAAAGGATTGTCCTAAAAAAATTGGGGGGCGTACCTGTGCTTAAATTTCTCCAGAGGCTTTCTTTAGATCTTCCATATATTTGTCTGTAATTTCCCCGGGACTTTCTTACAGACAAATGAATAGAAAATTTTAAAAAGTGGTTCTAGGTCTTCTAGTACATGCAACGCCCTCAAATGTTTTCAGGAGAATCCTTAGGAGTGAAGCTTCAGTTTACAAATCATATTTTTTTCAGAACAGCCGTTCTACGGAAATTATTCGACATTAGATTCTGATACAATCACTGTAATTTCTCACGCCTTTGCCTACTCGTCAAGATGGTGTCGAAAACCGTGACAAGGTCTATACAGGACGCACTCAACTTGGTCTTTGCTTTTCTTTCTTTGGCAGGTCTTCCTCTTTATCCTTCCCCTCCAGTAGCCGAGTATGCAGCTCTTTCTTAACTTGTTCAAATATACGTATATTGGCAGATTTCTTCAAAGCCAAAGTTTCTGAAGTGAGGGCAAATTCACTTTTGTCGTCTGCTAGCCCAATGGCGAATTGCTTCAACTCGATATCTGTCCATTTTCTCTCCCTAACCTCGAGCCGTTTCTTCCTTTTCCTTGCGGCAGCCATTTTGTTGCCTTGGAGCCTCGATTGCATGCAACTTTTAGCACTTGAGTGCCTCTCGTTAAGTGCGTGCCGTTTTTATACTAGACGTCTCAAACGCCTGAGAAGACTAATTCATCAGTTAAGTGCGTCGATCGGACGCACATAACTTCAGACGTTTTATTCGGATCGTCTGACGTTTAATGCGTTTAAATTGGATGCACCTATTCCTGAGCCACAAGGCAAGCATTGCTATATATATGTCCCTCAGCCGTATGCTCCTAGTTGTGTTCATTGATAGGTTTCACGAAACGTTGAACATAATTGCGCAAAAAAAAGATGTGTATTGTTAATAAGTGTCGTTCAATATTGTTATTGCAGATGTGCATCGCAGGGGGTCTGGGAATACCCGGAAGTGCCAGAGAAAGAACCAGTTCCCGCAATGCTTTCGTAAGTAAGGCGTGGCTTCACATCTGATTCAGCACGGTTTCCTAAATAAATTATCGCCATTTGCCTATAATTAAAGGCCAAATTCATGCCTGGTTAAAGCAGTACTCTTCACTTCACTGCCCACCATCTGAACACCTAAAACAGCTAGAGGCTCCTTGATCGGGCTTTAAGCACTCGAACAAGGGCCTCTGCGAGCAGAGGCTACCTTTTTGGCGGTCAGATAAGCCACCTCATATATTTGATGCTGTTTTTGTCTACATTTTCTGCAAAAAATGTATAATAAAACAATTATTAGATTCGGTTTTTGTGATATCCAGAATAATCAAGGTCTCGGCTCCGGCTCCGACTTATCTCGACCTTGATTATTTCGGCTATCACAAAAACCTCATCTGATAATTGTTTATTGCAGGCCGGGAAAAAGGATCAGATTTGAAATCGTTTTTATGGTCGTTGTAATAGATTAGCCTTTTTGTTATTGACCCTGCCTTCCAAGTATCGTACTTTGTGCAGATGAAGGACCTGGTTGTGTGTTGAATGTTGTTTGTTTGAATTTATTAATTTCTCAGGCTGGTGTTTTCATGGGGTTTTCGATTACCTCAGCTGTATTAGGTGGAGTTATCATCATATGTTACAGTATTGCGATTTCTCAGCTCAGAGGATATGATTCCAGGCGTAATCGTAGTAGGACCTACTACAATTACAATTCTTACAGCTACCGTTATGGGCGAGATAATTACAACTATCATGGAAAGATGGCCATTCTTGCCATTATGCTTATCCTGGGCATTGTTACATTCGGGGCTGGAATCTGGGCAGCGATTTGCACCTGTTTGATGAAGCCATGTGGTTGCTGCGGACAGCCGCCGGTAAGTTATATGTAATTCTTGAAGAAATTCATTAGGCTAGTAAAGTTAATATCTATTTAAATATTCTCAAAACATAGCCAAGAAAAAGTCTTAATGATGCTGACAGTTTCGATGACTGTCAGCCATCTTTCAGTCAAAAGTTGAAAATCGCCAAAGGTGTCAGAAGTCTGAAATAGGCTTCTGACACTGAAGGCTTCACCTCTCTACTTCATTTCAAGTCATGAGCTGTACCTCATCGTGTTTGGTGGCAAAAAAAAAAGGCTCCTGGAGCCATTATTTAAAAAAGCCACCAACGGTCTGAAAGTTACGACCAACTGACAACCTCAAAATATGATGTGAGACATTCTGACATGCTGAGGAGGTGATGTTAAACACGTACGTTTCAAAGCTCGTGAGTTTTGCCTGTGACTCCTTACTAGGTCTTAAACTAAGCTTTGATCTATATAATTCAGTGATTTTGGGTATTCGCATGAGCAGCAGCTAGAATTATACACTTTTTCAGTTCTCATCATATGCATCCATTTGGCAATAACTGTTGCAGAAATAAACCATTCAATCTACGAGCTTTTAAAGTCGGAATCAGTGGCGAATCCAGGGGAGGGGTCCCGGGGGACCCGCACCCCTTATCTCTGGGTCTGGATGACCGCCCCCTGCCCCCCCGCCCCTCCCTTATCTGAAGGTCTGGATCTGCCACTGGCCATTAATGACAATTCCGATGTCCTGCTGCTTATAAGCTCTGGGCTTATACATCTTCGTAAGGGGTTTTAGGAGGCTTTATAAACGGGGTGGGGGGGGGGGGCTTTTTCTAGTCTTCTAGTCCGGTTATAAGCCCCCTTAGCAGTGCTACTCAAAATGCGTTTTACATTTACTGGCTCATTTGATAAGGCTTAACTTAACCTTCATAATAAATTGAATTTCCAATTGGGATGGCATATAATCAGATCTATTTTTTTGTTCAGACAGGTGGATTGTCCTATATCTGGATGGGCTTATAAGTGTGGGGGGTGCTTTCAAGCGGCCGTGTTTACGGTATTATACTACTGCATCAGAAATTTCTGCAATTTTATTGGCTTAGAGCAGTGGTCTTTCAGCTTAATTTGAAATACCTACATGTGAAAATTACAAACCTTTTGTAGGTAGTAGCATAAACAAATAATAGCATGATTTGTACCTGATATTTGTTTGTGCAATCAAATGGTGACGAGTGAAATTAGGGAATGATTTCAAGCTCGTTTTGTTCAAATCCTAATAATTTCCGGAGTTATTAGGATTTTGCACAAAACGCAAGTGAAATTATTCCCTAATTTTCGACATGTTTATCCTGGATCGTATCGATCGAGAACTCCACTCTCTCAAACGTTTAGACCTTAAATTAAAGTTCAGAATTTTCAAAATTCTTCGACAAAATACCTGTTAGAATCCTTCTCGATGTGCTCTTTCGTGTGCTCAGGTTTTCTAAAGCGTCTTTTTGTGCCCTGATACCTTTATTCACGGCATTTTAAAACTTCGTCGCCATCTCTTGACACTGAGACGTACGGAAGGCTGCCATCATATGGTAATTTTGTAATTTCACATGTGAAATGACAAATTACGCTGAAATTTCGCGCCATTATACTACTACACGAGAAATTTCTGCAATTTGGTTAGCTTAGAGTAGTGGTATTTCACCTTAATTTGAAATACCTACATGTGAAAATTACAAACCTTCCACGGGTAGTAGTACAAACAATTAATAACATGATTTGTACGTGATATTAGGCATAAATACCACTTGTGATATTTCAAAATTGTCTCAATTGCACATAACAATTTCAGAATATCACTCGTGGTATTTATGCCAAATATCAATACAAAACATGCTATCACCTATACTAATATATTACCACTGGAATTCACATATTTAAAATAATAAAATTCCAGGCAGGCTATCGCTGCTGTGAGGCTTTCTGATGTAATCACTGTACGATATAAATGTAACGTTAAGGCCCTTTGGTAACCGTAAGTCAGGGCCCTGAATAAAACACTACACTCTTAGCTTTTTTCATTCTTCTCTAATAATTCTACTTCTGTTCTTCACTATTTTATTGCATTTAGTTTGCGTCGTCAATACGTTGTGTGAGTGAAATGCCTGAAAAAGTAACATCAACCATAAAAAAATGGGGGAAAAAAGGAACAAGTGTATTTTAAAATCCGTCTATGTAGTTTAAGTTATGCTCTTTAAAAAGTAGTAAAATTTCGTATCCATAGTAGACCTACAGTACATGTGTATATGCCAGAATAATTTTCGTAATATGTTAAATTATTACAGGTAGACCAGCAGATGTACGGTTACCCAGCTAGTGGTTACGTCATGTCCGCTGGAGGTGCTCCTGTGGCTATTCCAATGCAGGCAATGCAAGCAGGAGCCAGCGGTGCTGCAGCACAGGGTTACCATCAACCGATGGTGCTAGTGCCTGTATCTGGTGCAGCAGGGGGTCAGCAACTGATTGCTGGGGGGATTGTCACCGGTACCCTTCAGCAGCAACAGCTGGAGGCTGGGATGTCTCATTCGTTCGTACATTCTGGAGGTTACGCAGCTAAACCCAACGAACAGGTTTGTCTGATACTCTCGATTGTTAGATGGAAAATGCAGGAAACCTGAGCGATCTTGCTTCGGAAGAAAAACGAGACAAAAATGTACAAAATACATTGAAACTTAGGGGATGAAAGCATTCGATTCGAATAGTTTAAAAAAACTTTAAATACAAGCAGAAGTAAAGAGATAAAATTGCTTTCGAGTCGAGCTTTGCGACATGTTCATTAGTTTTAAAGAGGCTAGGACGAAACGTTTTTCATCAACATATCAGTATGATCTCTGTCGTGAACCGACTCTGTAGAATACACTGACACTCAGACTAGCAAATGACTCCCCCCTAAGCATCTATGGAAGGGACAGGTCGCCTTACCTTTGCGAGTAAAACCACCCATTGTTTGCACCGTAACTCAGAGTATTCGACGACATGGTTCTGCTTGTTATATGAGACGGAAATTTTAAGCAATAAATTTCTCTTCCAATATCAATACTCTTGAATCAAACAGCTGAAACTGAGTTCACTGTGGTCCGAATCTCGCCATAACCGAATGCCTGCCGTCAGGTTACTAATTGGCTCCTGCTGACGTAAGTGATCACCGAAACCGTATGTAGCGTAATACTTCACACTGCCTTGAGATAAGGGGGCAGGGGAGAGGGGGGTGGGGTCTCCAAAAAAAAGTATGGCCTCAGTTTGGTCTAGAAATAAAGGGGTGGGGCGGGCCCCCTGGACCCCTCCTCTGGATCCTCCACTGCTTCTCTCCCACTAAAGTGTTCCGGTCACATCTAATACTTTTTCTGTTTTCCTTTGTTTTTATAGATGCAAGTAGCGGTCTAGACGTAATCGGAAAATATTTAATCCACTACATTAATATTAGATATTAATACAAGTGGCTGTCGCTATTAACTTATTTTTTGTCCAGTTTAAATACAATGTCCAGCCCTGTGAATTTATCAAGTTTTGAAGTGTGCATGTTACTTTTACGTTCATTCTCCCATTCCATTTTCTTATTTGCGGTTATTTGCTTCGAACTCCTAATAACTCACGGGATCAACACTGCTTCATAGTACACTGAAAAAAATATAAACGCTTAAAATTCTTTGTTGGTCAGCGGCAGTTCACGGAGACGGACGAGTTCTGAGCTCTGACTTAGTTTCGATCTAGTGAACGTATTTGACCTTATTTTTTGCCCGTCAATCGTTTTGTACCGTTCCATATTTTAGTTCTTTGTCTATTTCTGCTTAATTTTATGTACAAGTCGGTGCATGTGCTTTTTTTTTCTTTTTTCTTTGTTTTTACATTGTTTTATACTTTTGCCTCCATGAAACAACCTATTCAGTAATATTCTTAATTAATCTATAACGCTTCTCATCAGCTAGATTTATTTAGCTCTTTAGCTATTGTCTAGCTGAGGTGGTTTGTTTAATATCTTTTTTTGTGTGTGATATAAATAAAGTTAATGAAGTTGTCTTGTCTTCTTTGTTTTTTTTTTGGCTTGTTTGTCTCTCTATTTGATGTAAAATGAGGATTCCATTAGTGTTCTTCAAACCCGTTACCCCGACTCAAATTTTCGTGCAATCCCGTTGTTCCGATGTATTTTCGGCATTCCGCCACCCATGCATCATTTCGAAAAGCAAGCTCGACTTTGCGCCCTTTAAACAGAACCAAAGAAGACTGATCGAAACTCCCGGGGGGAGGGGGTATTTCCTTGTAAGAGGCTAATGGGGATGTGCCGCTGGATATGGTCGCATTTTCACGACTGGATTGACTATAATGGAGTCGCATTTGTAATAGAGTTACTAGAATGGGGTCGCACATTTTCTGATTTTAGGAGTAAGATAGTTCTTCAAATTTACGGTTAGCAAACGCACCAGAATGTTTGTACTGTAGGTGAAAAGTAAAGAGTTCTTCACCCAATCTTCATGCAATAGAAGGTAGATAAATAAATAGAAAGAGACTAAGTTGGGATTGCGAAAATTTTATATTTGCCCAAAAGTGACTAAGATGGCGTCTATAATTGGCCACAGAATAGATTATAATGAGGTAGGGGCTCTGAGAGGCCAGCGGCATATACCCAGCAAAAATTAACCCAAGTAGTCTTTCTTGTTTCCATTTCTGCTCTTTTATGAGACCTACACAACTTACAGAGGGCTCAACACAGACATTCACACTCATTCAGACTCAATCAATGCCAAGTATCGCAACTAAGGCACGCAACTCACTAAAGTCACGTAATTATAATAGAGGCAAGATTAAAGGTGTTGAGCTTAAAAGAGAAGTTGAGCGAGGTCCAACTTTTACGCTTACGAGCGACCTTTCATACATTGCCTCTACTACTGATTTTATTTGCGATCGTAAATTTTATGCACGTACGCACTTAAATTTTACGCTCGTAAATAAATGTATGGAAGGTCACGCGAAATCGTAAAAGTTGAACTTCGCTCAAATTTCACGTTTACGTGTGGCCTTTCATACATTGCCTGTATTAACTTTACGCACGTAAATTTTACGTGCGTTCCGACGGAAAAATTACGCAGCAGTGGAAATCAACCCTGAGACAGAAATTGTCCTCCCAGAACACTAGAAATAGCGTTCCAGACTGATCAAGAGCTTGAACTCTTCCTGGGGGAGCATACCATCAGAAGCCCCTGGCGCTAGCGCATTCAGCGCTCCCTTGATTCGTCGATCATTACAAAAATTATCCCGATTTTACATACTTACATACATATACGGTTGGTCAGTCTCTAGTTTATCCCCGGTATAAAAGGAGCCTCTCAAATGCTAAGATTATAGCTCTTTCGAGAGTCTGTCACAATTGCATCTCTGCCGAGAACAGGACACGTTGCAAGGAAATAAATTCCATGCACCTATTTCTGAGGCAGAAGGCACGCAGTGCTATATATATGTTATCATTAAAAGTCCCTTACAACAGTCGTATGCTTCGAGTTATGTTCATTGATAACTTTCACAAAACGTTGAACATAATTGCGCCAAAAAAAAAAAAAGATGTCTCCCTTTAATAAGTGTCGTTCAATATTGTCATTGTAGATGTGCATCACAGGGGGTCTGGGAATACCCGGAAGTGCCAGAGAAAGAACCAGTTCCCGCAATGCTTTGGTAAGTAAGGCGTGGCTTCACGTGTGATTCAGCACGGTTTCCCAAATAAATTATCGCCATTTGCCTATAAATACAGGCCAAATTCATGGCTGGTTAAAGTAGTGCTTTTCATAGCTTACCTCGCTTGCCAGAGGCTACATTTTCACGGTCAGATGAGCCTCTCGTATAGCTAAAATGTACCCTTTGCTTTCAGGGTACATGCGATGCTGTTTTTGTCTTTATTTCCTTCAAAAAATGTATAATAAACATGATAAAACATTTATTATAATCAAGGTCTCGGCCCCGGCCTTCGGCTTGGCTGATAACACTTACCTCGACCTTGATTATTCAGGCTATCAAAAAAACCTCATCCGATAATTGTTTATTCCAGGGGGAAAAGGGATCAGATTTGAATCGTTTTTATGGTCGTTGTAATAGAATAGATTTTTTGTTATTGACCTTGCCTTCCAAGTATCGTACTTTGTGCAGATGAATGGCCTGGTTGTGTGTCGAATGTTGTTTGTTTGCATTTATTACATTTTTTAGGCTGGTGTGTTCATGGGGTTTTCGATTACCTCAGCTGTATTGGGCGGAATTATCATCATATTTTACAGTATTGCGATTTCTGACCTCAGAAGATATCATTCCTACAACGAGGAGGAATATTACTACTACCGTTATGGGATAACGGCAGAAAAACACAGCTATCGTGGAAAGATGGCCATTCTTGCCAGCATGCTTGTCTTGGGCAGTCTTACATTCGGTGCTGGAATCTGGGCAGCGATTTGCACCTGTTTGATGAAGCCATGCGGTTGCTGCGGACAGCCGCCGGTAAGTTACGTGTAATTCTTGGAGAAATTCATCAGAATAATGGCATCAGGTTAATATATATTTAAATATTCTCAAAACATAGCCAAGAAAAAGTCTTAATGATGCTGACAGTTTAGATGACTGTCAGCCATGTTTATCAAAAAGTCGAAAATCTTCACAGGTGTCAGAAGCATGAAATAGGCTTCTGACACTGAAGGCTTCACCTCTCTACTTCATTTCAAGTCATGAGCTGTACCTCATCGTGTTTGGTGGCAAAAAAGGCTCTAGCCATTATTTAAAATAGGCCACCAACGGTCTGAAAGTTACGACACCTTCGAGACCAACTGACAACCTCAAAATATGATGTGAGACATTCTGACATGTTGAGGAGGTGATGTTAAACACGTACGTTTCAAAGCTTGTGAGTTTTGCCTGAGACTTCTTACTAGGTCTTAAACTAAGCTTTGATCTATATACTTCAGTGATTTTGTGTATTCGCATGAGCAGCAGTATTATACACTTTTTCAGTTCTCATCATATGCATCCATTTGGCAATAACTGTTGCAGAAAGAAACCATTCAATCTACGAGTTTTTAAAGTCGGAATCAGTGGCGAATCCAGGGGAGGGGTCCCAGAGGACCCGCAGCCCTTATCTCTGGGTCTGGATGATCGCCCCCTGCCCCCCCGCCCCTCCCTTATCTGAAGGTCTGGATCTGCCACTGGCCATTAATGACAATTCCGATGTCCTGCTGCTTATAAGCTCTGGGCTTACACATCTTCGTAAGGGGTTTTAGGAGGGTTTATAAACGGGGTGGGGGGCGGCGGCGAGGAGTAGCAGTGCTACTCAAAATACGTTTTGCATTTACTGGCTCATTTGATAAGGCTTAACTTCACCTTCATAATAAATCGAATTTCCAATTGGGATGGCTTATAATCAGATCTATTCTTTTGTTCAGACAGGTGGATTGTCCTATATCTGGATGGGCTTATAAGTGCGGGGGGTGCTTGTTGCAAGCGGCCGTGTTTACGGTATTATACTACTGCATCAGAAATTTCTGCAATTTGATTGGCTTAGAGCAGGGGTATTTCAGCTTAATTTGAAATACCTACATGTGAAAATTACAAACCTTTTGTAGGTAGTAGCATAAACAAATAATAGCATGATTTGTACGTGATATTTGTTTGTGTAATCAAATGGTGAAGCGTGAAATTAGGGAATGATTTCACGCGCGTTTTGTCCAAATCCTAATAATTTCCCTCTCCTAACGGCTCGGGGAGTTATTAGGATTTGCACAAAACGCAAGTGAAATTATTCCCTAATTTTGAACATGTTTGTCCTGGATCGTATCGATCGAGAACTCCACTCTCTCAAAAATTTAGACCTTAAATTAAAGTTCAGAATTTTCAAAATTCTTCGACAAAATACTTGTTAAAATCCATCTTGATGTTCTCTTGTGTGCTCAGGTTTTCTAAAGCGTCTTTTTGCGCCCTGACATCTTTATTCACGGCATTTTAAAACTTCGTCGCCATCTTGACACTGAGACGTACGGAAGGTTGCCATCATATGGTAATTTTGTAATTTCACATGCGAAATTACAAATTAGTATGTGTAATCAAATGGTGACGAGTGAAATGAGGGACTAATTTCACGCGCGTTTTGTCCAAGGCTCGGGAAATTATTAGGATTTGGACAATCCGCAAGTGAAATTATTCCCTGATTTCACGAGTATACCATTTGATTACTTATTAATATCATGGGTGACGTATTACGTTAGCAATCTTGGGTTTTTGACATGTTTATCCTGGATCGTATCGATCGAGAACTCCAATCTCTCAAATGTTTGGACCTTAAATTTGGCTCATAAAGTTCAGAATTTTTCAGAATATTTCGGCAAAATACCTGTTAGAATCCTTCTTGATGTTCTCTTGTGTGTTCAGGTTTTCTAAAGCGTCTTTTTGAGCCCTAAAATCTTCATTCACGGCATTTTAAAACTTCGTCGCCATCTTGACACTGAGGCGTACGGAAGGTTGCCTTGGCAATTTTGTAATTTCACATGTGAAATTACAAATTAACGCTGAAATTTCGCGCCAAAATTAAGGAGTAATTCGTCACCTATGATATTAACGCTGAAATTTCAGGCCATTATACTATTACATGAGAAATTTCTGCAATTTGGTTGGCTTAGAACAGTGGTATTTCACCTTATTTTGAAATACCTAAATGTGAAAATTACAAACCTTCCACGGATAGTAGTATAAACAACTAATAACATGATTTGTACGTGATATTAGCCACAAATACCACTTGTGATATTTCAAAATTGTCTCAATTACGTGTAACAATTCAAAATATCACTCGTGGTATTTATGCCAAATATCACTACAAAGCATGCTATTACCTATACTAATTTATTAGCACTGGAATTCACATATTTAAAATAAATTCCAGGCAGGCTATCGCTGCTGGGAGGCTTTCTGATGTAATCACTGTACGATATAAATGTGACGTTAAGGCCCTTTGGTAACCGTAAGCGAGGGCCCTGAATAAAACACTGCACTCTTAGCTTTTTTCATTCTTCTCTCATAATTCTTCTTCTGTTCTTCACTATTTTATTGCATTGAGTTTGCGTCGTGAGTACGTTGTGTGAGTAAAATGCCTGAAAAAGTTACAACAACCATAAAAATATCGGGGAAAAAAGCGACAAGTGTTTTTTAAAAGCCTTCTATGTAGTTTAGTTTATGCTCTTAAAAAAGTGGTAAAATTTTGTACCCATAGTAGATCTAGAGTGTCAGTGTATATGCCAGAATAATTTTCGTAATATGTTAAATTATTACAGGTAGACCAGCAGATGTACGGTTACCCAGCTAGTGGTTACGCCATGTCCGCGGGAGGTGTTCCTGTGGCTATTCCAATGCAGGCAATGCAAGCAGGCGCCAGCGGTGCTGCAGCACAGGGTTACCATCAACCGATGGTGCTAGTGCCTGTATCTGGTGCAGCGGGGGGTCAGCAACTTATTGCTCAAGCTACCTCCCCTGGGGGAATTGTCACCGGTACCCTTCAGCAGCAACAGATGGAGGCTGGAATGTCACATTCGTTCGTAGATACTAGAGGTTACGCAGCTAAACCCAACGAACAGGTTTGTCTGATACTCTCGATTGTTATATGGAAAATGCAGGAAACCTGAGCGATCTTGCTTCGGAAGGAGAACGAGACAAAAATGTACAAAGTACATTGAAATTTAGCGGGTAAAAGCATTCATATAGTTAAAACTTTAATATAAGCAGAAGTAAAGACATAAAATTGCTTTCGAGCTTTGCGACATGTTCATTAGTTTTAAAGAGGCTAGAACGAAACGTTTTTCATCAACATATCAGTATGACCTCTGTCGGGAGCCGACTCTGTAGAATACACCGACACTAAGACTAGCAAATGACCGAAACGTTATGTAGCGTATTACTTCACAGTGCCTTGAGATAAGAGAGCGGGAGGGGGGAGGGTGTCTCCAAAAAAAACGTTTCGCCCCAGTTTGGTCTAGAAATAAGGGGTAGCTCGGACCCCCGGGCCCCTCCTCTGGATCCGCCACCTCTTCACTCCCACTAAACTGTTCCGGTCACATCTAACACTTTTTCTGTTTTCCTTTGTTTTTATAGATGCAAGTAGCGGTCTAGACGTAACTGGAAAATTCTTAATCAGCTATATTAATATTAGATATTAATACAAGTGGGGCTGTCGCTATAAACTGACTTTGAACAAGCACAAAATATAGCATTAGGAATAAAAAGGCTCATCTTTAAGAATTTTTTTTTGTTCGGGTGCCAATTCATAGCGCACTTTAAAAGGAGGAGCTCTCTCAAACAGAACAAACCTATGACCACCAGTCACGGAGTACTGGTTAGCCAGTCTTGGAAGAACTGAACTATGTACAGTTGACCCTTTGACGTACGAGATAAATTGGGTACTAAAAGTCCCCCTCCCCCACCTAAAAACCCTTAGGGTTTTGCTATTTATTTGCTGCTTCATCTTGTTAGGTAGCTGTTAAATTATTTATCGGACACGTTATGACGAAGTTTGATGAAAGACAGTTGCTATGCGAGAAATGACGTGATAAAGTGACATGAAATAAAGCCATGTTCGGCCAAAGTGGATAACCCTTGTTAACTCGAACCAAAATCGATTTTCCCTGGATTACCTTCATACATTTACTGTAATTTTACTTTCGATAACTCAAACCTTCCGCTAACTCGAAGTAGCTCAGATCATTTTATATTCATAAATTTAACTCAGATCATTTATATATAAATTTACCCGGATAACTCGAATCATTCTTTAAAAGTCTGACAAGTCGAAAAATGTTTACTGCAAGTGTGAAACATGGAAATTATTTTAACAGCCATGTAGTCTTTGTCTTTATCTTTTGTCCAGTTTAAATACAGTGTCCAGCACTGTGAATTTATCAAGTTTTGAAGTGTGAATGTTACATTATTTGCTTCTTGCTTGAACTCCCGGCCTCTAACGTACACGAACCTTTTTCCCTAGAAGATTCGAGTTATCTCGGGGAGTCGACTGTAGTTACTCAGCCTGTCGCTCAATGTAATTAAGACAATCAGGATTCCGGACTGCTGGTGAAATCCGAAATCCAGGAAAACTTTGCTTGTTGAATCTGGAATCCCGGGTTTTGAAATCCGCAATCCGGAGTCCCACTAACGATTACCTGGAATCGGGAATCCATGGCACGGAATCCAGAATCCAAGACTGTGCTTGATACCCTTACATCGGGCGACAGCCTGGTTTTCTGATATGTCGGAAAAATTTCGAAAACCACCTCCGTTTTTGACGATGTGCCAGGAAAATTCCATAGATTCTTCCAGATGCCATTCTGATAGGGTGGAAAACACTAGAATTAAGTGGTTAGAAGATTGAGTCCGAGCAAAAATGATCGCTTATCGATCCCCGACGGTGCAAATTTGACTCAGTGAGGGGAACTGATCGACGAGAATCACATACATTAGAATCTGGGACGCGTTGGTAAAACAGAAACGCACCCGATTCTCTCGAATTGTCCCCGGGCATCGCAGACTTAATCAGCGATATCTACGATTTCAAGTTTCATCTGGGACGGTCCCCGGAAAACAGTCAAATCGCCGATCGTCTGGGGTTTTTTCGACAAATGAAAACCAGGCTTAATCTGAGAATGCTGTTTGTGTCATTTTAACTGTCTCAATCTCTTCGCTTCACCGCAGAGATCAGTTATCTCGTCATAAATATTTAGTAAGTTAAATAGCAAATCAATTCTTAGTTAATAAAAATTAAAATAGCTTTTACAATACCGTAATGCACTGTTATAGTCATGCCAATAAAAGCTTGTTGTTGTGGTTGCCATCCCAAGATCTGTGTCATTCGCGAAGGGTCTCAGCCCGGGCCAGTTCTGATAGCAACCTGTTTGACCTAAACATCCATGATCAACTACCCTCATACCGGTCAGTCATATTATCATGTAATCAGGGTCGGACTCACTTGTAATTAAGTTTCAGAAGTGTGTGCAAAAACAGCCGAAACATTGCTGAACTACTGCACAGGTATCTCAAAGCTCACTATAGCCTGCGTGGCAGGCGTTTAGAAGTAATAACCCTCTCCCCTTGCGTGTCTCTCTCACACGCCCCGTTCTTTCCTGCGCCTATTACTTCCAAGCGCCTGCTACACAGGCTAAAAGCTCACTCCCTGAGCCACAAAACTATTATGATATTTACGTAATTTTAAAATTCTTCATACAGCAACATTAATAAGACGTTGAATACCTTTAGCGTTTTCTTGTGTTTATTTGTGTACCGTATAGCTTTTCAAGCCTCTCGGGCTCGTTTATATGCCAGTTGCCGTTGTCACACAATAGCTTCTCATTCAAATTCGTCGAGCAGTGTGTATACGTATGTATCAGCATATGTTGTAACGAACTTTTCATTTGGCAAATTCAAAGTGATTTTATCTGAGGAGTACCGCAAGTGTTGTGCGGTACGAAACTACCGTAAAGTTCCGAAAGTAACGACCTCCCGAAAGTAGCGATAAAATTTCGCAGGTGTTTTAAACTCCCGAAAGTAGCGACCCGCCCCACGAAAAAATCCTATTCTCCGAAAGAAGCGATTTCTGAAAACTAGGTTCCCTTTTTTGAAAAAAAGTACGGATGTGATAGATATGAAAAGGTATGCCAAACTTATCCGAGGTTTGCTATCAATGATTGTAATGGTCTTTGACATTCCTATTCAAAGGACAATACATAACTCTTAAAGCAAATGATGTACATTACTTATTTTGAGTGCAACTCAGCGTTTGCGACGACATGGTTCTCAGTGCATAACAGGTAAATTGCCTTCTGGTAAGACGTTTGACGCAGAATAAATAGACCACTCTCCCTGGTTAAGAGACACGTTGGTGTAATTATCGTAGAGGCGATTGTCTGCCGTAAGTGCATCTGCAGAGCAATACTAGACTCATCTGCAGTAAATGTTTCTGCCACCTGACGTATTTATAATGAGTTGTAATAAATTATAATAATTACCGCTACAAAACGAGAACAAGCGCAAAATAAAACCATTCGTTTAGAAGCTCTTCTTCTTCTTTGAGAAAAAATCCGTGTTCTTGCAATGTAAAGGATTCTAATAACAGAAACAATATTTACGCACATGAGGGTATAAATCTCGTATGCAGTAGATCTGATCTTTGTAGGCGTCCAGACGACTGATTTCACCCACAAGTGAAGGAACACCTTTAGTCATTCTAACAGATGCCTCATAAAGTCCGTCGTTAGGAAATGAGATTAACTGTAACTGATAAAGAGTGTCTAAAACAAGCGTGTTCTTTGATTTACTTCCATACTCAAGTCCGCAAGTGTCGCATATCTTGTCTCGTTTAGATCTCTTAAAAAACTGCATTTCCTCACTAGGCATATCCCTAAAGGCACTTTTCACCTCCTTCAAAGTCAGCTTTTGACACAGTTTTGTTATTCTCGGGTTTTGTGAAAGCAAGTTATTCATATAACCCAAAACAAAATCCGCTAACTGCCTAATTACAGGTTCGTTTACAGAAATTTCCTCCAAATTAAGACAAGGACACCAATGATCCTCGACGCCTGCCTCGGCGCAAGTACGATTTCCTTCGTCAATCCGGTTAAACAAGCTTTGACCGGTTTCGATCCCGCTTGGATACTTTGGATACGTCAAAATGTGACGTAGAGTAGCGTACAAATCAAACGGTGAAGTGAGAACATCTGCATTATGGATAAGATTGTTATACAGCTTAGGGTATTGATCTGAAAACCATTTGGGTGTTGTGATTGACAGAAATGGAAGCCGTTCCTCCAGCTTTCCTTGAACAGTTTGCCTCAGGGCGGAAAATCGCGAACCGTGGTCCCCGAATACGACAAGAAAGGTGCTGTTAAGGAAGGATTCTTCCTTCATTTGTTGCAGAAACCTCTTAAAGTCATTATCTGCATAACCGATGCTGTTTATACTGTCATGAGACAAAGCAGCAAGAGAGACGAAAGAGAATTTCGGTTTGTTCTTGTACGCACGAAAATAGCTCAGCAAGTATTCAAATGAAACCTTGTGCGAAGCTTTACTGTTGATGCAAAACCGCTCCCAACCCAAATCTAACGCTGCCAGCCAGAATGGTCGTGCATAATGGTCCGTTGGAGCATCTCTGAAGCCTTTCAAGCGATTATTGAACGCCGCAAAGCGGGGCGAGTCCTCGGAGAACATTGTCACATATCCGTTTTCTTTATAATCCTTAAATATCCATCGCCATTTGTCGACAGTGTTGGCTGCGCTTCCCATCCTTACTCTCGCTTCTGTTTGTTGCTGTTCAACAATGCCGGTAAGAAGAGCAACTAGCTGAGCTGTGGTACCGTCCCCAACTATAGTTTCACCTATAATATTGCATGTAATACAAGGTCAATGAGCCTTAAAACAGTGCCTGGCAAAAGTAATTGAAAAACAGACGGAACGGACCTTATGTCGTGACGGCAAAATGATTTGTATAAAAGCAATGGCAATGTTGTCATTTTTCCACACAGACGGGCACCATTTCGATTTCGATTTCTATTATAAAAATATATAAAATGGTAGAGAAAAAAATAATAATAAAAAAACGCAGAACAAACTCAAGGTCCCGTTTTAGGAAGTGTCACTGTGGATTAATTGGAATGTCAAGTACGTCAAAATAGGAGAATGATTGCTTTCTCTCCAATGATTTGCAATCGCTTATTTTAACACTAAGTTAATAGTCAAGAAAAGCAGGGATAAAGGAAATGAAAGGGAGAAAAAACTTTTTCACTTCTTCCAATCGCTTCCCGCACGCGCTCTGTGCTCGTTCCCGCGCCTCTCACCGGTCCCCCAGCACCCCCTCGTTCCCCGCTAAGTTTGGAGCCCAGAGGAGGCAGGGACTAAGATCTGTTTCGTGGGAAATGTTTCACCTCACCTCTCATTAACAGCGAGTTCAGATTATTTGTCAAATATTCCAAGCTGTTCGGCATTTTTCTTCTAAAGTTAGCCGCCGACGTAGAGTCGAACATAATCAGCGCAACATTGAGCGGAATTCCCTTGGGGCTCGGTTGCCTAGCAAGCACTTCCTTTTTTGGAAACACGTGCATGTGTACGTCACTTTTTGTCCAACCCCATGACGTCATTACATCGACTTGGATGAAGTCATGTTCTACTGTGGCAGTGCCCGAAAAGTTGTCTGTAAAAATAATAAATAAATGAACAATTTAAATAATAATATAAAAAAAAATGGCCAAAGGGAATCAGTTTTGTAAAAAGCAGGACTTACCTCTTGAAGATGGGAAAAAATTCCACATTTTCGGGGTGAAACCTAAAGAGATGGAAAAACCAGCCCGCCATAAGGATAAGCGCCCACGTTGACTTGTTCATATGTGCTAGTTATTTGCAAGCACGGCCAGATTTCTTATTGGCTTAAGTTCTGCTTGCTCGGTTTCATAGAAGGGGCCACCTGAGATGGCACTTGTTTCATTTCACTGAATGAAATGGTCCCCAGACGATGCACTTCTGACCTTTTGCGCTCTAATCCTTTCTTCCCCGCTGGGGACTATTCACTTTATTTGTCACTAAATGATTTTTCGGACTGTTTCTACCTGATGGGTAGGTAACGGGAGCATAGTTAAGTATCATGGGATCAATTGAGTTTTCTAAGTAACTGACCACTTACCCCTCTCCCAAGTTAACATTAGGGAGCTTCAGCAACGACGGCTGCGCCGTCAAAGAGAACAACAAAAAAGGAATAGGTTCCAGATTGGCAAAACAAACATCAACTTTGCACGTGCATCACGCGTTTTTTGTCACTGTACGACTACGTAGTGAAAATGCCGAATTTCACGTCTTGTGGAGGACATGAATGCAAAACAACGATTTTGGTTTTCGTTTCCTGAACTTCAATTCAAGAATAAATTGTCAACATTTGGCGAACTGAACGAGATGGAATAAGCGCGATAAAGTTTGAAACAGCTCAACTGCACTTTTTTTAAGTGACGTTTTCGTAACCGTCGCCGCCATCGTTTTCGTTGCTTAAGCTCTCTATTAACTATTAACTCTTACTTTTCACTCAAAATTGTGACTTAGTATGGAGCAGTTACCAAGTTCAACGTCAATTGATCTGTACCACGTGCACGGGCATTTTTTGTTTGTAAATGGGCCAATATATATAATATCCGGCCATGGACTTCACGCTTGGGCAATAACGCAAAAACATAATTATACTTGTCGTTGTCAGTACTTACACTTCATAAACACGGCATATGATGAGCCGACCTTAACGTTGCTGTTTTAGTTAGAGCTCGTACAGTCTTAGTCTCCTTCGCAGCCGTTTTTAGGCTCGCCATGCAACGCTCCTCATGGTTTGTGGGGAGGAGCGTTGCGTGACGAGCCTAAAAACGGCTGCGAAGGAGACTAGACAAGTATAGTCTCCCACGTAGCCGTTCCTTTGTGTCGTTCAAGCGCAACGCTCCTGGGTACGTGACGATACAAAGAACGGGTTTGTAGCTGTTGTAGGAGACTACTAGTTAGAGAAACCCCTTTTTGAACGAGTTTTTCACATACACATACAGCATTTGCGGTCGCAAGACAGATGACGGTCGTTTACAGTAGCGGCATAACCTTTTAACTGAGCAAAAATCTGAACGGAGAAGACTATGATAACTACATACCTGAGGGAGACTGTACTTTTCCATCGATTTTGTTGGCTACGTTTGAGATAGAAACTGGCTCCGAAAGGAAAACATGATAATCTTCTCCGGCCTCTCTCACAATCTTCCTGTAATGCGCTGAAACGATGCCCTCTCCTTTCACGCGAAGCACATTGTTTTCAAAGTTTGAAAAGCTTCTTCCCTCACAACGCAAATCGCCAAGATCTTGCAAAAATTCAAGTACGCTCTTGTGATGAGGGTCTATAAGTGGGAGCCTGCAAGCAGCGAAGCTGCTGTTGGCTACATTCTTAACGTATTTAAAGCGAAGAGTTTTTTTAAACGGAGCATTTGATGCATTTGGTCGAAAGAGTGTCAATATAAAGGTGATTGCAATCAGACAAACAAGGCCTACGAGCACAATACGATGATTGTGCAGCCGAATTTTACACGGAATTCTGATTCTCTTAATGTGCATACTGTCATATAAACTTAAGGCGGATTGACCGACCCAATTTTTAAAACAGAATAGCTTGATGTCGTAACAGACATTTCAGTTGCATGAAAACGAAATCTCATTTTTGGCAGGAACAAATAAAAGGGTTGACGTCAAATATTATTTGGTCACCAATATCAGAATATCAAATGACCTCGCTTTGTGGGCCGGAAACTATCGGGGGCACCCAACGGTTGTTTTTCTAAAACATCTGTTCGGAGAAGCAAAAATTGCCTAGAATTTTCTTTAACCTGACGAAGGCTAAGAATTTCTAGATGATCGTTTCATTCATGTACAACTTTCGAAGCTTATCTAATAAATCCCCTAAGATTTTGTAAAGTTTATTTTTTTTCCATTTCACTCCCTGAGTTAAGCTATTTTTCGTAGAGAAAAGAAACCTAAAATTTTCGGAATCGAAAATGCGATGCAGAGAGTAAACGAGAAAAAATATCACTAATTCGTGAAACTTTAAATTGCAGCTAAAATTTTCGGGGAAATAGGGTCAAGTTCCCCTAGGATGACCGAAAAGATGAAAATTTTTGGAAATCCTAAAAAGTGTTCAGTCAATGCATTTAGGAGGAAACCGTCGTTGGGTGCCCCTGAACTAAGGCTGATTGTTCCAAATTGTTTACTGGCTATCACTTAAGACATTAAATCTTGCTGAAACACTACAACACTACAGGTTGAGGATTGTTGATATCTTCTTCAAGAAAAACCCTTTTCAGCCTACTATCTATAAATTAATCTTTACAGGCGCCTTCTCGCCATGGCCGCAATTTGAAGTCTTGCATTTGTTTTGCGTAGGTTAACCTTGCAGAGACGGCCAGCTGTTTTAACAAAGTAAAAAAGGGGAACCCGAGCTAACTCAGTGGCATGTACAAAAACTGCCCGTATGAAGTCAAACTCACTCACATATCTTTATGATAGCGGCTATAGAGCGCTGTGCATTGAGCAGGAACTGATGAAGAGTCAGAGTTTTACGTATTTATGTCTATTGATGACGCAGAGTACAGCTCCCATTTCTCTTCTTCATAAATTCCTGTCAACATGGCGGACAACTGGGCGAACGCCGCCAAAAAGGCGAGGATTCTTGCCATCACTCAAATCATTACTGGGGTTTTACTTATCGGGTTTGGCATCGGCGATCGACTGGTTTTCGGAGGATCGCCTGGTGAATGGACAGGCTATGTCTATTTCGGCGTTTGGATTGGCGTGTGGGTAAGCAAAAATTCAGTTTCTGCATGAATAAACCGGCTACCAGTTTAGCGCTGTCTCAATGAAATTGAAGCTTCAATCAAAGATGTCCGGGCTTTTGAAAAGTTCATTACACTTCTAGCTTGAAATGTACCAGGAAGAAGGTCCTCCACACTGGCGTTTGTTGAGAGATTTGCCTGAAGAATAATACCCACGCACCAATGAACCCAATCTGTTACGATACCACACAAAAACAATTTCAAAGCTTTTAGTCAAGTTCACCAAACTATAAGTCAGTGAAGTCTTTTCTTCTTTTTTTTTCCAGTTTAGTATAACATCCTTTACAAAAATAACGGTCGAACCCCGTTACCATGGACACTGAAAGGACCATACATGCAGTCCAAATTAAAAACGGGGTGTTTATGTAAGCAGGATCATACTGTCACACCTCTTTTCGGAACAAATTCTAAAACAATAAAACAGGAAAAACTAAAATCTCCAGTACGGTAATTATAAAACGGGCAACAAAAAACGTGCAACTTGTTTAATAACATTGCTGCAAAACCAGTTGAAACGCGCTGTTGCGCATTTGTCTTGCAACAAATCAGGTTGCAAGGTTTGTTTTCGTTGTTAGTGCCTGTGTTGCTGTAGCTTTACTTTAAGTGGTTATTCCGCGGACAACGTCACTGCGTGAAAACTGACTCAAATATTGTTCATTTAGTCATTTCTTAAATCAATGTAAGTCGCTCGCTCCCAATGTAACGTAATCTGGATTCCGGAATCTGGGAGTTTTTTCTTGTGGAATCCGGAACCGTATAGGCTTTGAAATCTACATTTTAACTCAAGGAATCCGGAATGCCGCTTACAAATGGAATCCGATATCTAAGTTCCACTGACAGAGACTGGAATCTAGTACCTCAGTCGAACTATCCGGAATCCTCGGCATGGCCAAATGAAGAATCCAAGACTGTCTTGGATTCCCTTATTCATGGGGCGAAATTTTCGATTCTGGAATCCGGCCTCCTGAGCTTTGGAATCCAAACTCCAGCCCTAGGAATCCGGAATGTAACTAGCATTAAAAAAAACAAGTTTGTAATCCAGAATCCAAGTTTCATTCTTGGATTACCCATGGGCTGAATTGTAATGTGTGCAAAGAACGGTCGTATAAAGATTCTATGAATACCTCGATAACTTTTTCTCTTGCAGATGAGCATCACAGGGGGTCTTGGAATACCTGCGAGTGCCATGAAACAAAGAACCAGTTCCTGCAATGCTTTTGTAAGTAAGCTGTTGGAAATGGTAGTCTTAAGTGCGTTTGTCAACAATTGAACAACCCGGCCTATAAGTGTGAAACCATCAGTAGTAACAAAAACATAGGTCCTCTTGTTTAAGCTAGAAATCGTTACTAAGAAAGTTTATCTGTCTTTGTATCTTAAGAGGCCGTAGACCTCCTAAACTGTAGAAACGATGAATGCCATTTTTGCAGTCTATAAAACTATGAGGATTTGTATCGTCCATAGGACTTGAATATTAACTTAACTTAACTTAATATCTCCTCTGCTGCCATATCTTTTAATTTAATGTATTTTTTTTATTTTCGTTTGTCATAACTCTCTGTGGCCAGGCCTGCATTATGACTATCACCGTATCAAATATATCTAAATGACGTGGCCTCTAAAAAAAGGTGTCTCAACCTGTGAGCATATGTTGACCACCTACCTTCCTGATCTTTTTTAATGTGGAGATTAACTCAACGTCCATCAAAGACACAGGCTAACGTTTGACCTGCGTCTAGCTTGACGTTTGAATTTCCAAACCTTCAACAGGCTGGTGTTTTCATGGGTTTTTCCATTACCTCTGCTGTGTTCGGTGGAATAATCATCATAAGTTACAGCTTCGGGATTGTGAGCATTACCACCTTCGATTACGGAATATATGACTACAGTTATCGCCATGGTAACTATTACCACTATCGCACGAAGGTAACCATTCTTGCCATTATGTTTGTCCTTGGTCTTGTTACATTTGGGACTGGAATCTGGGCAGCCACATGCACTTGTCTGATGAAGCCCTGCACTGCCTGCTGGGGACAACCGCAAGTAAGTAGCCCAAGCACATTCACCTCATCTTTGTATTCTAGCTGGACGAAAAAATGGACTTGTACAAATTTGCTCTCGGCAAATATGTAGCAGAGACGGCGGAGCGCTTTGAAACGCCAGCCATACGCATACCCCTACTCAAATTTTTTAAAATGCCCTTTGCGTTGTTCGTTGACACAAGCAATTTTCACAGCATCTAGTGTGTCGGGCTCCGTAATCGATTCTAGAAAATGCATCAGTAGGTAGTTTTTCAGGCGGTCCTGCTTCATTGTGCTCTAGCTAGTTCTTGAGTGGTCTGAGGGCAGAAAATGTGCACTCTGAAGTCGCTGATGTCACACGGGTATTGCCAAATCTATCGATAAAAGTGTTTTACGGCACCAAACGTGGGAGGGGGGACAGAGCCCCCACCGCTCCCCCTACTCAGCCGCCCATGTGTAGCAAAAAATGTAAAAAAAAAAACCGAACTGAGGAGTAGTGGTTTTGGTATGCAACTGTGTCATCATTACAATCTAACATATCTTTGCCCCCGATTTATTCCTCAGTTTTTACATTTTTACGAAGTATTTGTCAGCAGCAAATTTGTGCAAGTCCACTTCAGTTTCCTCCAGTGAAGTCGGCTGATCTTATTGTTTTACACCACTGAAAAACGAGGTTGTAGCTAAAGAAAAGGTGTGGCTTTCTGGGAAGTCGGAAACGGTAACTTTGATAAAGCTTCGAGTGGTGGATAGTCGAGACGACATTTATTATTATCATTATTATTATTATTATCATTATCATTATTATTATGAAGTTTTTATCAAAACAAGAAGCATGAAGAAGCAAATTAGTGTAAAAGGCGTTAGTATTTAAATGTTTAGAATGAGCCAGAAAGCCACAAATAAAATAGTTTGTTTCGATACTTTAAGAATTATTAACTGTTAGCTAGCTATTCCACCTGGTTTCGAGGCGTTCAGTTATACATGAAATTGTACATTTATCGCAGAAGGAAACTAACAAAGAAAGAGCCTCCGTCAAATGTCGTTTGCATACACGTTCCATACTCATGACTGTGATGTTGTTATAATTGTTTGAGTACGTCGTTTGTTTGTTTGTTTTCTTTTTTTGTCATTTTTGCAGGCTGACCAGGGTGTGGTCCCAGGTGGTTACGTCGTGGCCCAAGGTCCTGGTGGTGTCCCCATAACGTTTCCTGTGCAGCGAACTGGAGGTGGTGTTACTGTTCCTTATGAGCTCATGACTCCTCAAGGTGATACTCAGGTAACCGACCAGCCTCCAGCTTATCACCAAATTTCCACAACTGGAGGTCTCTCATCTACAGCTGAGGGGGATCCACCTCCTCCCTACAGCAAAGACTAACAAGTAAGTGTAAAGTGTTGTGTTTGTTCTTGTTTAATACAAAAAGGGAACTTATCAATCGGTGAAGAAGGCGGCGCCGGCAACAATAATGTAAAACCAACAACAAATAACAATTTTTTCATTAAAATTAGCCAAACGACAACCTTGCAGGTGCATCACACTTGTGGGTACGTAATTTCTTTGTCGTCAATGCACGACACCGATGTGAAACTGGGATTTAAGCGAACAATGTTTTTGGGTAAATCATTTCCCCAAATATCTTGCATTTGCAAAATTGCACTGACCTGAATCTTGGCGAGGATCCTTGCATATTTGCCTTCTGTCGTATGCTAGATTCTTGACTTATTAAACGGTTTTGATTTTTTGGTGGCGTGACAATGAAAACGGGCAATAAAAAAAACTTGAAAGACTGTTTAGAGCCACGGCCACAAGAAGTTATAAGTTTCAAAAATTTGAAATGGAGTTCCGACCCGTTTTAATCCATACTGTGTCAAACGTTTCACTTA